TATATATATATATATATATATATTGAAAGCCTGTGTTTCTGAAGCATGAAATTTAGATCTTCTTAACTCTGGACTGTCAATTGCACAACTGTAGAGAAATTAAAACTGGGATAGACCAGCGGTCTGGGAGCCCTAATGAAGAGGTTGTCATTACAAAGGAAGGCTGGCAGTGTGGGTGCTTTGGTGCTGACCACTTTTGGCACAGGTGTGGAAATGGGCTGCTAAGAAACCAAGGAATGCCCTGGCTGGTTTTGCTCAGTGGTTAGAGCATCGGCCTGTGGACAGGAGGGTCCCGGGTTCGATTCTGGTCAAGGGCACTTGCCTGGGTTTCGGGCTCGGTCCCCAGTGGGGGGTGTGCGGAAGGCGGCCGATCAATGATTCTCTCTTATCATTGATATTTCTATCTCTCTCTCCCTCTCCCTTCCTCTCTGAAATAAATAAAAATAAATTATATATATAAAAGAAACCAAAGAATCTTGAGAGGTACACAGTGGGAATTCATTTCTCCTTTGTGGTATATGATTTGGGCATTTCCATAAGAAACTGAAACTGCCAGAGGGTATATGACTCTAGCTCTTTTCTTTATTCTCCCCTTTTGGAGCTGCTGTCTTTGGCCTTTATCTGTTCGATGGTCTTTCTTCCACAGAGTACAACCTTCCCACTGATTTTTATGCTTATAACTCAATCATTGGTGTTCATAAAGCCAGTTAACTAATGACATGATAGCTACCAATTATCCCTCACTTTGTGCTTGAAGTACATTCTTTAAATCCCATTATCAATTCTGTGAAGCAAGTATTTTTATTCCCATTTTATAGATGAAGAAGCTGAAGCTTAGAAAGGTTTTGCTCTAAGAAACAGCCACAAAATGGTGGAGCTGGGATTCCAACTCCAATTTAATTCCAGAGTTTATGCTCTTCACCACTAGGCTCACTGGCTTTCCTGGGACCTACCCTGCACCCAGGCTTCAGTATTCTGTTCAAATGGCCACAGTCAGAACTTTAAGGATGTTTGGGAAAGAGAGGCCTGGACTTCTTTTAAATTGTCCTGTCTAGTCCGCACATACCCTCCTCCCTCCTCTTGTCACCCTTCTTCCTCCCCCTCCACTCCCCTCTTGTTTCCCTTCCACTTTTCCGCCTCTTCCCCCCACCCCCTCCCCGCTTCCTTTCTCCTCTTCTACTCCTTTAAATTTCTGAGAGACAGTATAGAGTCGTGGTCAGGAGCAAGGACTCTGTGCCAGGCAGCCTAGGTCAAATTTTAAATCCTACATATTAGCTGTGTTACTTTCGTCATATAATTTATTTTCTTTATGCTTCACTTTCCTTTTCTGTAAATAAGGATTAAAAAGATTGTCATTGTGAAAATTAAATGCATATAAAGTGCTAGAACAGTGCTGGCACATAGTAGGCACGCAAGAGATCTTAGCTGTTATCGATTTAATTTTTATATTTAAAAATAGATAATACATTTATGTGGTACAAAATTCAAAGAACAAAAGTATGTAACGGTGAAAGTTTCCCATTCCTGTCCTCCAGCCACCAGTCTCCCTCCCCAGAGCTGAGGTGTGTTACCCTTCCTGTG